ACATGAAAGAAAAAATTAAAAATGAATTTGGGGTTAAAAACAGAAATTTAAACAAAAAATAATTTAAATTTACCTAAAAAAAAACCCGTAAATTGGAAAATATTTAAAACAATTATTGAAAAAAAAAAAAATAGAAAATGGAAGTAAAAAGCATCAACTTATGAATTCGATCAAAACGCTAGAAAGAAACCAAAACTTTAACCAAAATAAGGATAAAGGTTATTTCCTGGAAATCTAGATAAGGGTCAAGTTAAGATTCAAATATAAAACGTACAACCCATATTTTTAAATGTAAACAGGCCTTTGTTGAAAACCCTAAATGAACATTATTCTGCGGTAAAAGCCGGTTGTAGTGGAAGTCGTGGAAACTATTAAAAAAAACGTATTTGTTTTAGAACGAATTCATGACAGAAGAAGGTTTATGTTGATGCTATTTTACATGTCGAACTTGTAATGTAATTCTAAACAACCAATGTGACTTGTCATAATACATTGGCTACAAACCAACCTTAGTATATGTGTTAATATTGCAAAGATAACTCTGACTGTGGTCAAGAACCTTGATAAGGAAAACAAAACTAAATCGCATGATCGACCGTATGAAAGGCTCTTTAACAATTATTCCTCGAGCCCGAATGGGCTCTGAGTCAATGGCCTCATGGGCTATTGACTCAGAGGCCATGAGGGCAAGAGGAATAATTGTTTAGTAAAATCCAATTAGTTAGTCAAAAATATCGAGACAAAACAGGTTTAGCTAGTTAAGCTAAAATTGAATCCTTTTTTTGCCACCAAAAGCCGGCTCTTTTCGCTACTAGTGGGCTATAACATAATTTAGGCTAGTAGTAGCTCAACAAATCAAAAAGCAGCATTGATAATAGGCCACTAGTTGGATTTTACCAAGAGCAATAATGGCTCTTGATTTTACTAATTTAGTTAGGTAGCAGGCAGGGGCAATTTAAGGCCTCTCAGTCTAGAAGTGTATTAAGATTTGGATAAGTCTGGATGGGAATCTTAGACCTCACATTGGAGCCTTCCCTCCCTTGCAAAAAAGAGACCAGACACGAAAGATCTGCTGGATACCTTGGCTGTTCCTGTTAAAAGACCCGTCGGAGGAGCAGACGTGACACTAGCTGTTTATGCACTTGTGCGTTTATTGTTTTCTTTCAAAAGACTCAGATCAACTTACCTTGGACGCGAAAAAATACAACAACAACAGCATCAATACCCAGCGTCGTTTTTCTTTCTCACTTTTTTCGTTTTGGTAACGGCGGTGGGGAACACGCTAAGGGAAGAGTTACCCCATGTAAAGGACAGTCTTGGATTCTGGATTCCACGCCCTGGATTCCAGATTCCAGGTACTGGATTCCGGTCTTTGTTAGTGAAATTTGGATTCTTGATTCCAATCTTTAGTAGGGTTCTATATCCTTTGAGCTGTATTCCGGATTCCAAAGCCCAGGATTCCAGATTTCACAAGAAAAAATTTCCCGGATTCTGGAATCCAGATTTCCTCGACAGGGAGCGAGAAGAGGAGGCACCTGCTGTCAACGCCCTAGTTTTCCCTTTTTCTATGATCTCTGGCAGTGCGTAGAATTCTGTTGGCTACAAGCACCTTTGGGGATTAGTCTGTCTGTCTCTTTTCCTTTTCTCCCCCCGTGTGCGCGCGTCCTCGACATTTCTCCCTTCGCCCTTATAAAACCCCGCGCCTGCTACGCAGGCTACAACAACTTAAAAGCGGAACCAGGCAATAGTGTCACAAATTGTATTTTAATGAGTGATCCATTGGTACTGTTTTTGAACAAAAATCAGAGGATGTCTTACATACATAAATCGATTATTTCTGAGGAAGATATCAAACATCACAATTTTTAACCAAGAATAAGTCTAAAAGGGGAAGACTACCAGCCCTTCTTGTCAATTTTCTTTTTCTTCTTCGGTTTTGGACGCCATATTGGCTTTTGAGAAGCTGCAGATGCTACACGTTCAGCAGCTTCCTTTTCCAACCGCGCCTGTCTGTCAAGAGAAAAAGCATTCCTAGATTATAAACTTAGATGCTGTATTTTCTATCTCTAGGTACTAATTAGTCGCCAGGTCTGCCTTTCAGGCCCCCCTCCCCCCCTCCCCTGCATATTCGAATTTTGGAGCTAGCAATAGCCTGACAGAACAGCCAACATTTCACAACTCCACCACAAGTTTCACCGCGAAATGACGTCTGAGAAACGCAGAAAATTCCATAATTATGACGCCTCACTACCGAGATATTGGTAGTTTTTCTGATTGGTCCAGCTGCTTTAGATAATCAGAAGCACCACCCAGATCTGCGTAGTGACGCGTCATCAGTACGGAATTTTTGTGCTCGCTTCTGGGCAGACGTCATTTGGCGGGGTTTCCAGCGGTGGTGTCGCGAAATGTCGGCTGCTTTCTCAGGCTGACTCAACCATTGACGTCATCTGAATTCATACTCATCTCTGGGTCATTTCAATTGTGCTATGAAAGACTGCAACTTTATCATATTGTTTAATTTCTAGCCTGAGGAAACAGCCGACATTTGGCGACGCTACCACTGCTTTCCCCGCCAAATGACGTCTGAGAAACGAGCGCAGGAATTCCATACTGATGACGCGTCTTTACCCAGATCTGGGTAGTGCTTCTGATTGGTCGTGTCGCGTGGGAAATTTGATTAGCGTCGCCAAATGTCGGCTGTTTTCTCAGGCTATTTAATTTCTTGATCACTTGCTGAAGTTTTAAGCGTGGTGCAAAAAACTGGTTTCTCTACAAAGCGTTTTACAAATGACATTTGTTAAACTCCATGACTGATGATTTGATGTTCAGGCCCAAAACGAAAGGACCAAGTTCACTGTACGGAAACTACCCGTAAGAATTTGCTAAGAACAACCTCGCGTTGTTCAAAGACGATCACCGGTGTGGTCATTTAGGAAACGCTACAACAGTATAACGGTGTAAATCTAAAAATTTTCTAAACAGCAAACTAGTTGGCGCTTCTTGAGGATCAATTCTGTTGTCGAGTTTTGTGAATTGATCTACTTGCCATGTACATTTGTTTCAATTAAAAGTGCAAGTCAGGACTCACTTACCTTCGTCTTCGAATCACATATCTGATCGTCTTGTTAATGAAGAGCAGGGTAGAAACCAACACAAAACTTGTAATCAGTGTTCTGATGATTTCCTGTCTGGTAATACCACCAATCAGGGATCTGATGTATGTCACGTGACCTGTGGATAACGAAACAGTACATCATTACACTCAGCAAATTTCCAAGTCACTTGGATTAGACGGGTACGGCGAGTTGAGTACTCAACCTCAGTGAGTTTCTGCTATGTTTTGGTAAGAAAGTCCTATCTGGCGTTTGACTGAGCGCCAGGCAACTTTTCAAAAAAACACCTACTGTTTCCCACCAAGATACTTTTCGTTTTTCCGAATCCCGCACCGTATCCCAGATCCGAAAATACCCTTCCAGTTCCTGAGTCCGAAGTGTTTTCTTAGCTGCTACGGTCAAGCTGTGCTAATATAATTTACTTTACAAACAGGTTCTTCACTTACTCTTAACGTATACAGCGTACAGCTCAGAAACAGTATCAATGAAGGCGCAAATCGAAGTGAAACAGAAATTAATAATCCATGCAATCGTATCCCAAATTCCGTTAGCCAGGTGAGTGAGTTGGCACCGAGTCCACTCTGCAAAATCGGTTGCTTTGTTCCAAGTCCACCGCGCCATCCACAAGATTTGCTGCCAGGTCGACTCAGCCATAAACGGGGCCTTGTCAAAGATCCACTCTGCCGTAAACTTAACTCCACCGCAAAATTTACAGGTCATTTGTCGCCACAAAGTCAACAGTCGTTTTTGATGCCCTGTTTACTCCGTTCCATGTCCAAGCTGTTATCGCCACTGTATTCTTGCGTAATTTGTTCCATGTCTGCTCCGTTAGACTCAGAGGCCTGGGTTCACAAGTTTGGTTGTTGTACTCAGGTGCACTTTCTGGGTTCAAACAGGTTTGCGAGTCGTGATTCTAAATAAAAACAAGAATTTTAAAAGCAAAAGTAAAACTGATCCTGAGCTTTAAGACGGTTATCTTTTGATTGTTAAATGGCCAAAAGTCTAACCCTACGTTCGCTTTTTTTGAAAGTATCAAAAAATCAATCAACCACAATTTATTCATGAAAATAAATAATAAGTTTGCCTTTTAGCAATTAGATGCAAGCTTTGAAGTTTGACTAATCATTTAGTGACGTTACTTTTGTGAAAGTTCAAACGCACTGACATGCACTGTGTGCGGTCTATTACCTGTTCCTCTTGAAAGGTACTGTAGATATCGCCTTGTACAGAGCCAGTCTCCCGAACAACCACTTTTAAGTCAAGTTTCAGGGTTTTAATTTGCATCTTGATGATATAATTCTGTGGTAACAGCAGCAAAGAAAACAAATAAAGGTTTGAAGAAAAGAAGAAAATAAATTACAATTGATGCTAATTGGACTAATTACAAAGATTGCATTTCTAGAAATAAGTAAATGAATATCAAGTTAACGCTTTTATATCATGCTTTTTTTTATCTCCTCTTGTTGTAAACTGTTTGAAACCAAACTTCGGGGTGTAGTCCGAACAATATTTTAATAGCTCCAGTTACCTGAAGATAAAATCTTGCTTAGAATTTGGCTTAACCGTCGGTTTACAGAGGTCCAGTGTTTTAAATAACAAAATAATACAGGTGATGATAAGAATCCAAGATTTCAATTTGAAAGTTATTTAAACCAGCGAGCAGTGTCGAAAGTATACTAAACAGAAGGAAAGGCTACTATAGTAAGAAAGACAACAATGGAGAGATTTAGAGTCAAGCTTCCTGCAAACGGCAAACGGTAGATTCAAGTTAAGAATTTCTAAAAATAGAAAATAAGCTGATAAAAACAGCCCAAAGCATTTCTTATAGATGAAATCATGTGAAACTGAAAATTTTTTGTAGAAGGAAAGAACAATTGAAGACAAGTAAAGAGAAAACTTGGTTACGTGGCACAAATTCATTTGCCGTTTGCGCAAATGTGATTATAAATATCTCTAATGGTTTAGTTTATCGCAGCCCTTAAAGAAACCTTTACCTTTCCCTGCCAGTTTCCGATGACAGTTGCTCCATTTGCGAAGTCTTCATAAAAGAAATCTGGTTTTTCAGCCATGACAGGGTCTGCAGAAACAAAAGGAGGTTGTAAGTTTTCAAAATTGAACTTGGTCATCAACTTTGATTTAAAACCTTTCTTGAAAGTGGGCGTAGATTTGACTTGGTTACAGATTATAGTTCACGGCAAGATTTTTGAAGAACAAAAAGATCATATAAAAACCCTGATCCCAAAAGATCAGAATTTTCATAGCTTTTACACCAGAGTTTAGTTTTGTCTGTGGCGCAGAGTAATGTTAAAGATCTATAAAATGTTGTCATCTTCCGGAATTATTTGTTGAACAAGTCACGAGCAACCGTCGAAGCGCGAGCTTACGCAAGGAGTAATGAGCACGTATAACATTCTTGGTACCATAGCAACCGAAATAAAGCTTGACTTTGCAAAACATGATTTTAAAAAGAGTGTGAAGTGCGCCTTTTTAAGAAAAAAAGATTACTTATACGATAGACAAATGGCCCATAAAATTCTCCATTACATTATATAGAGTTGGATGAAAAAATGATGGAAACGTTTTATTTTACTAATAAAAGTTATGATCCAAACTTCCAGGAAAATATTTTTCAGCGCTCGAGTTTTTCAGTCTTTTTAAGACGCCTAAAGATCTTACCTTCACGCAATGCGTTAAGCGTAATTGAAAGCAGAAGTAAGCCCACCAACGCGGTAAGCAAAAATATAATCCTCATGATTACAACGAAACTTTTTGTCTTTTCACACGATGCGCACGTCTGTTCGCTTCGAAGAGAAGTTCCAAATGATTGTATGACGTCATAATCAGAGTTTGACAAAGTCAACTGGGCGCGGTTGATGCGCGCGCGAGTAGTATGTTTGACTTATTTATTCTTGAGTTTTATTTTTGCTCTTATTTATCATTCATCTGTTTATGTATTTAGCTCTCTATCATTTGATACAAGCGCTCTTGGTTTGTACATTACGCATGCGTTTCATGTAAATGATATTTATTTATAATCTTCCCACAAGGCTCTTCGCTTTACGCTCAACATAGTACTCTTGGATTTAAACCCACGTTACCTCTGGTTTTCCTTCATCACGAACAAATCTTTCGCCTTTTACTAAAGATTTCCGTGGAGGAGAACAACTGAATGAGTCTGTAGACTAATTTTTCATCGCCCTGCCTTGAGGCGGGGCTCACAAAATAGATATTAAAGCAAACCAATGTCGCCTGCATTCCCAAGCACAAGCGTAAGTTTTGCCGTGATCATCACTTAACATTTCTGTGTTCTAGTCTTTTACAAACTGATCTGTGTTTAAATGGGAAGGTGAAGTTTGGCGGAAAAAAAATTTCAAATAATAATTTTAGGACTATCACACAAGGTTTGCTGTCTTCTTCCTTCGACTTCCTATTGCAAGATGGTTCGGTTTACGGCAGACTCGTTCCCAGTTGACTCTCAGTCTACTCTTATTTTCAACGAGGTAAGTGCAGGGCGGATAAAGGTTGGGCGGTGAAACGAGCGCTCCGCTCTTCATTTAATGTGTGATGCGGAGTAGGACTGGCACGAGCGCTCTTTCCGCGCTTCCGGTGCGCTTGAAGGCCGGCGAAATTTTCCTTTTTGCAAACCGGAAATCCTATTTTCTTTCTGTAATTTCAGGCTACAATGTTAAATAGATAAATTCGTTTCATAACAATATCAATAAACAGTTTCATATGTTTGTGTCTGTACGTCTATAAGTCAAACTTGTTGGTCGTATAATGCCAAAATTTGAGTTTAATTTGAAAGTGTTGAATACCTCCTCCTTCCACTAAATATCACCTAATCGTCTTTCGCCGTTTCGTTTGCAAAAGCTTAACACTTCTTAACCTCAATTTTTACATATGTTAAAGGGGGATAAATTTTATATAACATAACAAAAAATTAGATTGATATATATTGATATAGTGGCGTTGTACTTCTTCAAACTTTGCTTCTCGGGTGCAACGCGCCATGGCGATTCGCGCAATGCGTTGCAAATCCGGCAACCGCATGTAAACAAAATTTATTGAGGTTAGTTGTAAGGTTTTTTCTCCGTTTTTCTCTCTAAAACAAAACAAGGTAAACAGTAAAAACTGAGGGGAAACTAATTTTGAAGTTTCGAAGAAACAGAAAGACGTATGAGATGTTTTTTTCAAAATTAAAAAGAAGGATGATGGTGATTGAAATTAGCATAATTTCACCTTGCACGAGCTGCACGCATTTATAAAATACACGTCATCTAGTTATGAAACACGATCTGCTGTCTTTTAGTTTTGCCATGGATGACATGGATGAGATTTTCCTTCGTGTTTTAGACAGTACTTAGTTGTTTTTGTTTTGGAATAACATCGACATTGGCGGGTAGCAGAACGAAAATATAATTCAGTGGTAGAGTCATGGAAGTAATAAAAGAAACCCTTTGAAAGAGATGTTTGTCTACTCCAACTAAACTTTCCGCAAAAAATAGCAACATTTGCCTCTCGGAGACAGCGTACCAGCACAAAGGAACGAGGAAGAAGTGCAAGAAACCAAATCAAGCCGCCATAATTCAGTGACAGCGGCAGTGTCCAATGTACAAACCACATCACAAGCCCTGACCGAAGTCGAAAACAAGCGAATAAACAAGCGACATTTCTAAGCAGAGTCCCAGTCCACTGCATCACACCTTTTTACTCGGACGCGCTCGTTTCACCGCCCAACCTTTATCCGCCCTGGGTAAGTGCGCTCAAGGGGAGAGCGTGGCACACGTGCGATCCAAATACAGATGACTGGGAACGAGTAAGGCTTTACGGTCAAGTAACCCCCACCCTTCCCCTACGTTTGGTTTTCTTTCGCGTTGTTTTTACTAGTGGTCTTTTTAGTTTTTTTCCCCTTGTTTCCATGACCTTGGGACATCGCAATGCGTCCCTTTGAACCGCCAAAATACAAAGAGCAAAAGAAACAAAGACAAGGCGCCCGAAAGTCATCTCGCCTGCAGTTATGTCGCCCGAAATTAAAAACTAAACTAAATGAAATTGAAATCAGTTTCTTTAAAATAGCTGGTTTCATTACTGTAACATTAAAACTCCGAGTTTAGGAGCCCAACGGCATTTCATCAAACTGAGTCCACTTACAGAGAACTCACTCATAGGACAGTTTTCCAAGGCAGTCATCTTTAGTGTCCATCATTAGAAAGACTTGACTGTTCAAAAAAGGTCAAGGTAAATAATTATTTTAAATGCTTTAGTTGCTTGTTCCTAGGCTAGAAAACTTTGCTTAAAATTTGGCCAAAATTCATGAGGAACCTGACCCATGTCGCCAACAATCCCCCATTCGCCCGGTAGGCGCGGTTACATTGTTGGAGTAACAAAATAAACGCATGCGCTTTGCCATCCAACTGCATCAAAATCCAAGATGGCGATTTTATGTGGGTGATTCGTCTGCATCCGCTGTTGTCGTGTTTAGAAAAGTCTGTTCTTCCTGGCACGGTGAAAAATGCAAAACAGAACAACTTTGTATGACACTTTACAACAGCAACTTTACAACAGCGGGTTTTTGGCGTCCATCCCCCTGGTTTTGTGCTGAAAAAGGCTCGAGGTATGTGAGAAATTTGTTGTTCTCGTTGACCCACTGTCTGGCGATGTTCATACGTACAGGGGATCTTGTACGTTATTGTTGTTCAATGTTGTTGCGTTATGGCTTCAAGCATCCTAGCAATCTTTTAATGAAAATGAACGAATTAGTTAGGAAGACTCTAATTATTGCTCATGTTTCACGATAATTTCGTCTGTTTGTTTTTCGGTGTTCATTTGTCGTTTGTTTATCCTTGCCTAGGAAGTAAATATCTGGTGCAGTGCCTGCAGAAGGAAATCACTTTAACTGGACACGAAGGCTGCGTAAGTTGTTTTTGCCGTTTTTCTTGTGTTTAAAACACAAAATGAGTCGACTGGAACGTATAATTCATGAGAAGCTCATCATGAACATTGGGTAATTACATGTAAAGCTTGAGTACCAAAATGTATGATTATTATTATACATAAGCAGGTATTGTATGTACAGTTGACTCCCGATAATTCGAATCATCAAGGGAAAGAGAAAATAGTTGGAGTTACTGGGAGTTCGAGTTATTGAGGGTAAAATTAAAAAGAAAGCGATCTGAAGGGAAATGTAAATTGCTTTGAGTTTGCGGGATGTTCGAGTTATAGAGGGTTCGAGTTACCGGGATTCGACTGTATTATCTTATTGGCCCCATTTGGGGCCTTAAAAATGAGGACGGGTAGACCCTGGCTTTATAAAACATCTTGGAATGCCTTGATGAAATAGTAGTCATCTCTCTTGCAAGGAAAGTAGCAAGGGTGCCCTCCCAATTTACATAGTATTGTTTCAAGATAAATCCCTTAACACTTATTTACATCTTCAAGGTTTACTCAAAGGCCTGGAAAACTCACACAGCCTGTGTGGCAGGTGCAAAAAGGGGAGGGGGAGAAAAAAGTAGAGAGGCAAAGAGAGAGGAAGTGCCTGCTGTAAAAACAGTGTTTTTGGATAACTCTCACCATTTCTTGTTAATTTGATAACATGAACAGTCAATACATGACCACTCAGAGGTACGTTATTGGTACTTAATTTTACGGGTCTTTAACTTTGCTTTTTTTTGTGATTGAAAAAAACTTGCAAAATTTAAGACTCGCAAATTTAAATCCTTGCCAAATTTAAGCATGCGAAATTTAATACCCATAGAGAAAATTCAGAGCACAGAAAAATTTATCAACATGTGAGAACAACAACATACAAGATATATATGTTGTAGTTAATTTTTATTTTTTCCTTGGTTTTTTTTATTATTTTTCTATTCTATTGTAATGTATGCTACTGAATTTGAAACAAAGGAAAAACAGAAATTACCTGAAATAAAAAATTGACTGCAACATACATTGTATATATATATATATATATATATAAATGTAAGATATACCAGATAGTTATCAACAAATTTACTAGTTGTTAACTGGTTTTACTGGTACATTCCTTTTTGTATCTTTTGTTGTGAAATGATGTTAATTTGCAAAGATTTCACACATTGCTTGTTCTAGTTTATCAAGAAATTTCAGACCTTTCAAAAGATAAAAATTGATGAAGTTGAAAACTCTTAAATTGCAAAATTTAATGCTCTCTTTCATATTTGCCTGATGAAATCACAAAAATAAAACCCCTCAAAATAATGTCTCACAAAAATCGTGAAATTAAGTACCAATAAGGTATTGTGTGCTTCTAAGCCTGGGTGAAACTTCAGACACAACACTTTGTCAGTGTTCTCCAAAAGCACCGGCTACTTTTTTTACTCAAAACATAAAAAAACTGTCTGTACTTGTGTTAATCTTGAATTTTCCATAAAATGACTAAAATTAAAGAAAATAATCTAAATACTAAAATAATCTTTTGCATAAAATAACTGGAGACAGGCTGCTCTAAATTGACCTCGATTTTCCTGTTGTCGTAAGCCTCAAAATGTACCAGATTTCATCTTTGGGCCCCTGTCCTTTAAAAATTTTCTAGGGGAGCATGCCCCCAGACCCTCCTAGGCGATCGTGCCCTATGGGTGCTCAGTGCCAGGCATCTGCTACTTTAAATTGAGGGCTAGCTAGTAAAGAATTTCTGGAGAACACTGTTTGTTTAGGGAAACTGTTATGTTGAGTCAGTTTTTTCATATCAATATCATAATCAGCGAAAAAAAATAG